GCTTTAGGTTTTATTATACGATTGGAGATATCCTTTGCCATTTAACGGGCACTAATATAGTTGCCAAGATACTTGAATTTCTCGACGACTTCTACCTGAACCCTACCAAGGGTCAGTGCGGCGATGGGTCCCTGCTAATCTTGAAAAAGGACTTTGTATTTCGAGAGTGCAAAGCACAGCCCAAAACGACTGACAGCCAGAGCTAATTTATACAGTGCAAGCTGGCACGTTCGGGAGCAGTCACAGATGAGGGCAATATTGTCAGAATAGTTCAAGTCAACAAGTCGTTCACTTGGGAGTAGCTCCACACCTTCCAAGTTGTTCCCAGTGAACGCCGTTTCCATAACTTCGTCAGTGGCGAAGTAAAAGAGGAAAGGTGAAAGTGGGCAACCTCGTCTCACACCTCTGGAGATATTGAAGGGCAGCGAAATTTGCCGTAAGCCCTCCCTACCCGAACTATGGGCGTACAGTGCTCTTATGACATTTACATATTTCTCGGCACACCTTTCCTGAGAAGACAGTGCCAAGAATCAAGGGCCCCTTTGATGTCGGTGGACTGCCAGTAAACATGGCGGTGCTCCAGCAACTGGTGTAATGAGAAGATGTGGTCAATGCAGCCTCGATTTCGACAAAACCCGGCTTGCCCCTCTCGCAGCTGCCGTTCACGGGTGTCAGTCAATCTATGGAGGACGACAGAGGCAAGTAACTTAGAGGCAACGGAGAGCAGACTGGTTCTTCTATAAATGCCGCATTCCGGACGACAGTGTCCCATAAAAGTTGGGACTATGACGGAGCGGATCCAATCCTGTATGGACAGTCTCTTTCTCCCGAAGATTCCCTAGTAAGTTATGCAAATCATCCATAAGAACAAATCCTTCGAATCTGAAAAGAGCTGGATGAAGTCCATCTGATTTGACGGCTTTGTTCAATTCAAACTCCGGTCTTACATTCAAATTCTGCGCGTGAGTACAAATCCAAGGGGACGACCCAGAGGGAAGGGCGATAAAATGCTGATAGAGAAGCCAGTAACTTTGCCTGATTAAACTGCTTCTCGAAGTGTTCGGCTCAACGCTCCAAGAGCTTTGACAAGATGTGGATCGGCCGGTCACTCTCGTCTTGTATGGTTTCACGTTTCTTGTATCAAACGGAATAAGTTACGATGGTTACCAAGGGCAGCTGCTGTTTCCATCATCGAAGCAGGATAAGAGCACTAGGCTTCGCGGTCTCTCTTTAGGCTAGAACGCAGTTTGGCCCTAAGAGATTTGCGAGTTTCGTTGTATTCGCTCCCACCCGGAACATGCCGGTCAGCATGCAAAAGTTCCAGAAACTGCGTAGAGGTCCTATGTTCAGATTGGCGATTTGATGTGTCACATGAAGACATGTCTGCTGCTTATAACGTCTGGTGTATATGTGACTAGTGATCAACAACTGTGTTCAATGAGCGTTTGTTTAGGCGAGATGCCAGCGTACTTTGATACCCATGCAGAACATATGACTTCATCGTTGTCGACGTCCGCCGAAACGTACCCGCAGGTCGGCGCAAACAAGCGCGGGGTCCCCGTCCACGCTCGTGAGCGACAGTTTTGAACGCATCCTCTCCAGCGGTAACTGATCGAAATGTGATCGGTTTGAGTCCATGGCTGGTTTAGGGCGCGTGGGCGCTATGTCACCATTTGCGAGTGCTGTGTCGGAAGTTAGGGCTCGCGAGAAAGAGTCGAGTATCTTCACATAGGTGTAGTCACTGTTCACTGTTCTCATTACGGGAGCCTACACCTTGTTGGCCGCCCAAATGCAGCCCATCAGTGGGCAGTTTTCTAACTAGGTTGTTCAAATCACCAGCGGTACTTTTCCTTTGACGATGAAGCGGGTTTAATTGATGATAGAAGTCGTCTTTCACCGCGTCAGCACCACAGTTTGTGAGCGCGTAGGCCGCAGTGACAAACAGGCAACCATTAGCAACGCGCGACTTCGAAGCATTGAACAACCCGGCCAATCTGACAACAAACATCCAGCTGTTCATTGGGCAGCTTCAGCCAGAGTGCTCAGAACAATGCTCCCCTGCTTGATGGGCATTCGGAGCTGCATTATGTCCAGAAAAACGCAATGGGAAAATACCGCCAACGTCGCATATTGAAGTTCGCAGCGTAATCACAGAACTCGAATGTTGAAGTTTCCGATAAACAGGATATCGATCGAAAGGGCCTCTAGGGTTCGAGCAAGTGCTACCTGTTGGCCAAGCTGAAACAGAGTGAGCATGTTGAGGCGGTGCTAATCTGAGGAAAGATCGAGGGCTCCAAGTGGAAGCCGGCGAACTGGGCTAGTCCTCTCGGTTGGACACGCGTTTGTCAACAGAAGAGGAGTGAACCTCCGCGTTTGTATGTGAATTGAAACTAGAAAATAAACGCTTAGCAAAGTAAGATGGAGAAGGGTCAAAAGTTGGGGATGGAGAACAGTGGCGGATAAAAATGAAGTTGGAACTGGACAATAAGTATGAGAGAGCGAAAGAGAGAGAGAGTAAGAAGACGGGTAAGTCTGAACAGTAGCATCCAAACTCTTATCCATCTTACTCGATGTAGCAGATAGGGCGCCATTGATTATCCTCCGCGACGGACAGCATCAAGGGTGTCGTGATAACCCTCTGTGAATCGAAAACTACGCCTGAACCTCGATCACTTTTCTGTGTCAAAAAATAAGCTCATTTTATACTTCCCACCAATTAAAGCCACTCACAAACTCGCTTATTTCATCTGGTAGATCCTATAGCAGCAATTAGTTGAGTTCTGTTCTCGCCAATCCAGATCAAGTATCCACTTGATTCGGGGATATCGACCTGAACAAGTAATAGGTCGACCTGCGGTCATTGCGGTTCGCTCGATAAGTACCACCACAAATGGATGGAGTAAGCTATTGTAGTGCGTGGGCAGGATACTGTCGGGTTGACCAGACCTAGACAGGAGAACGATAAGGGTTATCAATCAAAGCCTGGGGTCCAAAAAGTTCATCGCAAGGCAGTGGGGAGTTTGGCATTGGGCGACACATAGTCCGTTTTATGCTGCGAGAAGTCACCTTCACTCCAATCCCCAATCTGGAGGGCCAGGAAACAGTACGTCAGGCTACTAATCATTGACCACTGGAATGAGTAGCTCCGGAGATGCAAAAGCATTACGCAGCAGAGCCCCAGAGACCAATGGGGAACGCAAACCATCGCAACACGTTAAGACCTAGTCTCATCGTCGAGTCACTGCAAGCTTTCGTTTTTGCTGCGTTTGTTTTAGCGCACCAACTTAGTGGCCTAATTGGCCGTTAGCAGTCGTTTCTGGTGGCTTACCACATATAACCACACAGAGATTGATACTATCAAGTTCCCCTCATTGAGTGCACCTGATTGGTGCTTCATGTGACTGGTAGCTTATCGGCTGACTCAGTTCGGTGTTTGCAGTGCTTGATAGGCTTTTCATTTCCTAGGTAACAATGCTACGTTCTGCTGGCTCTGTTCGTCTTGGTGCTCTGGCTGCTGACGTGGGTTGAAACAGCTGGAGCGATATCTGGCTAACCTTGTCTGAACCAACTACTCGATCATCACGATCTACAGCAAAACATCAGATGGTTCGACCAACATGGTTGTGTTGTAGTTAATTCGCGGATGCAGACTCCCAAAGCGCATCGTGTCAACCACATGTTGGGAGGTAATGTAAATCAATAAAACCCGCCAACATTTGTCGCTGTATAAGGAGAATGCATGATGCGGAAAGAGTAGCAGGCAAAGCAGCAAACAAAAACGGGCTCCCTTAAGCTCCAAAAAGTTCACCTTTGATTGGAAAACAGTAGATTTGTCGGGTTAATAATGATATGTTTAGGGGTACACTAAGTTCTCTGGACGGTAACAATTATGCATTTCATTGCTCACATGTTGGCAAAATGGTTCCAAAACAGAAATACCATGTAATTTTTATCCTTAAGGAGTGTGAAGACCCTTTCGGCTCTGTCGTTTGAACGTGCATCGAGGGGCAAATCTCCTTGGATAGTCTTCTGTCGGGCTTTTGTCCATGCGCTTTTCTCCCTGATGCTGTAATGAACAATGCGTGGATTTGTACAGAACAGCATCTGCACATGAGATGCTTTCCTTCAAACGAGCTGTCGTGAAAGTCGATTTGCAGATGTATCTAACAGAGATAAATGTCACAAAAAATCGTGTTGCACCCTGCAGCAAACGACAAAAGAGTCGAAGACAGTGTCAGGAAAGTTTGCTCTGGACACCACTTGGAAGTAATGCCAGGACAAAGAAGATGCTGTCACTGTGGGAAGAAGGCCAATATTCTCTGTCAAGTGTGCGATGTGCCAATACACGGAGCCTGTACTGTGGCATGCCAAGTCTGAATAATAGAAAACATTTTTGAGTAAATAGGGGCTATATATACTTTGATAACTAGCAGCTGCCTAATATCTTTTTGAAAGAAATACTAAACACTGTCCCTTTAAATCTGCAAACACGTGTGTATCTGCGCTGAAAAGGCGATTCCATGTTTTCTTCTAAACTCCTATGTCACGGTATCATTTGGTGCTGGTGTCACAAAAAAAGGACAATCAGGAAAATTATTACGTCCTGAAATAATCTAAACGTTTAAAACTCAGACATCGTGTTTATTTTACCGTTTTTCATGACACATGTAAAAACGTAAATGTGAAACCTCAACAGAAAATGAGTTGATGGTCTGAAATCATACTTACCGCTCATTTGGGTGTTTTACAGCGTTTCTGCAAACGACCACATGCTAGCAATCGGGTCAGTGAATGGGTGATTTGTATTTTAAAAATATTAGTGCGATAAGGACATACATCGTAAAGCAAAAGCGTTGCGTATCAGATCAGCTCAGCTGAGTGTGAAGTAAATGAGACGACAAAGAACGCAGATGAAATGAGAATGCGAGCTCTACGTCGTCATTCAATTGAGAATATACATGAAATGAAAAAGAAGTAGCTAAAGCTTCAAGTGTACTCACATTGAGATGCAGGTATTTCAGGACTCGTTTGTGAGTGAGAATATGTAACGGGTTACCACCGACAGGGTCGATCACAGGAAGCCGGTGAACTCTGTGTTGCAAAAGTTGACGTACAGCATCCAATAGAGTTTTCTCAGGCGTTATATAGATCAAAGGGCGCTGGTATTCCGTTAACTGTTCTGGGAAAACAACAAAAAATGCGAAAAAGCAGATAATAGGTATATGCATGTACATGTGAATTCGCAAATGGAAATAGCATAAACAAGTTGGAAAAAATTCAAGTGGTTTAGAGAGGGGGATAGACAATTAGGTGCGTGATGAAAGGATTGAAAAGAAGTATACGAATGAGATCATTCTGTTTGACGAAAGTGAGACCTTTAGTTTGCAATGTGACGTAAAAAAGCGTTCAAGAAAAACCATTGGTAACGTCTAAAGACATGCGGAAACAGGCGTTATGAGAAGCGATATCACGAAGCCAGAGGAGTAAAGAAAATGTGTCGCGTGACAAAACCCCAAGACCAAAGTGAATAGACGGAAAACGCGTAATCCCATAAGGTGTAGTGTGAGATGGAAGTCAAGGAAACGGGTGAGTTTAAATTATATCGAATAACTAAATAAGAAACCCAGGCCCAATGGCACAGGTCAAACTGATGGATTTTGTGTCATAAATATATCTAACAGTTCGAATCACTTGACCACCCAAGATTTGTGCACACGAACGCGATTAATCAGTCCTCATCGTTCAGGTAGCCAAAAGAAGAGTGATACAGATAAGGAATGAAAAACTCAAAAGAAGTGAACAAGATAGCTAAAAGTGACAGCTATACCATATTCCCTTTACGATGGACAGTTTTCAAAGCAGTCAGACCGGACAAAAGTTTAGGTTTTGTAATAAAGATCGCTTGTAAAAAGTTGTATTACGACTTTTTTTAAGTTGCTTCGTATTAGTCCTTTCAAGCATCGCAATACAAGTATTTACAAAACCGGTTTGTAGTCTAAAACCATCTGAAGCTATGAATTTCCGCTCGGTTCCTAATTTGTACCAAAATATCCAGCCGAACAGTTTACTTGGTATATAGAACGCAAGGATCAGCAGTACGCCGGTAAACACTACCGACGCTTCGGTGTCGCGTAACCACCACTGGTCGCACATCGGCTAGGATACTTCGAGGGCCGCCCTGCCCCTACGCAGGCTCGAACCCGTGCCGCCAGCTTACAAAACAAACTTGTTACCATTAGGTTACGAGCCGTAGAACACAAGCAATTGAGTAAGAAGATATTAACAACGTTAAAAAGTCGGTGGCCTAAGGGATCACAAGCCTGATTTGTAATCCGAAAGTTTGGGTTTGAGCCTGCGTAGGAGACCGGGCGACCCTCGCAGTATCCTTAGTCCATGCGAGACTGGTGGTGGTTGCGCGCACCGAAGCGTCAGTATTGAGTACTGACGTACTGTTGATGCCTTTAGTTTAAGGGAGTCCGGCTGTTTCTGCGGTCGTCAAGTCAATCATCACAATGGACACAGTTTGCGCTGTCCTCTGCGTTACTACTCCGACGCTCTCTTGAACACCTGCGCTTAGTGTTCGGTCGGGCGTCGAGTTGGTCAGCAGATGCTGCTTCGGTGCTCTGATTATCGAAAACACGGCTTCTACCGGGTTTAGGATGCAGGCGACAGAAAACTCATGTGATAGAACTAATCCAGGATTCTGTTTGGATAGCCCAGAATGGATTCTGATATCGTCCATGATCAGCCATGCTTCCTTCAACCCTACTCAGTAAAGTATGCGCGACATGAAGATAGAGGACATTGCGACACTGCAAGTGTCTTGATTAGTGTACCAATGCTGCATTTGAGTGTGGACAAGATGACGTTCATGTGCGTCCCTATTTTTAGACGAGCCTACGCCTGCCACCGTCCGATCCGTTAGCTAGGGACGAGAAACACCTTAGCTGTTGTGCTGAAGATAAAGTTAAGCCTACTTTCGTTTATGAAGATGTACTTCTTGTCTGGTAGTGTGTGTACCTAGAAGCCAAAAGCCGCCAGCTATGCTCGGTGTGGTGTCGTTGACGCGGTCGAGCTTGTATTGACACACCTTGAGTGTGGTCCTTATGTTCCTTAGGGAAGTAAAAACCGCAGAAAAGAAAAGGTGTACCTCGTTCTCCTTCCCCTGCTACTGCACCTGTACCAAAGCATCGCACAAATATTGTTCAAATTTATCATCGATGCGCTTCAGGACATAGAGATGACTATACGCTCACACTCTGCTCCCTGGAAATGCTACCATCAGTCGAAATGCTGGCGGCCGAACATGCTACATTGAGCTCTACCACATCACCGTTCACTTACTTTATTACGCAGCTGTTCCACTCCCTCATCCTTGATAATCCCTCTCCGTTTCCGATTACACAACACCGTGCCGCCTCGGGTGAGTGTACTCGCCATGCGGATCAGGAACTTGTGTTCGAGGGTGCGCTGCCAAGTAACCTTGGAAAGCCTTTTCTAGCACCCCGTTCCCAATTCAAACTGGCAACCTTCATTGTTCGGACATTGACGCAGATCGGATAACAGGCAACCCTTGGACGTATGCTTGAGATTACTACCATTTATGTCTGCTGCCTCGCTGAAACTCGACAACAGGATTCTAGCAAAACGCTACGACGGGTTTCACTATCTGCAAGTTTTGCTGGCACTTTCACACTGCACTTATCTGGAGACGCAACCGCTGAAGCCGACGTGAGGATTGCGTTGAGCACATGTGCGGAGAACGCGCTACTAGACTGGATTTCTGAATCGTCGAAAACAATTGTTTACCTTCGGTCTTTTGTTCTTGATAATGAAATGGGAATTTTCCATTTACTGAAATTATCCAAGTCGCCCTCAGTGGTGAAGGATCTAAACCAGTTCCTTAAGTTCTCCACTAGGCTTGCCGAAGCTAAAACTTGTGTGCAATTCTTCGATAATTGCATTGAAGGCAACGAATATCCTAGCAGATTCTGGGAGCAATTGCGCCGCAGTCGTATCTACCTGAATGCCAAAACACTTAGACGTCATACTTTGAACCAGCGTGACACGGTGCAATCCAAGATTCCCGAATTCGAGCGTAATATGGCGCAACGCCAGCATGCAATTGACGAGTTAGCGTTGAATGTGAAACAAACATTCCTGGATTACGTTCAGTCTATCACCGCAAACCATGTACGACAAAGGTGTTTGGCCTTAACAAAGACGTTGAATCAGCATAAGCCGCAATCTACTTTCCCGAATAGACCTGAGAGGTAGGTGCACAAATTTCAAGTATGAAATGGAACTCCACTTTAATGGAAGTTCTATCACTTGGTCCAAAGTTTTGCGCCCCCAAACATAAAGACAATCAGCTTCACTATGAGTTACAGTTTGAAAGCCTGTTTGGCCAAACAAAAGGGCTAGTAGCTAAGTCAAATAAAGACCTGGAACGCTTTAAGTGTTCTCTAGTGAACACCTGCTACCAGTATCGCAAGTGCCATGTCCAAACTCACGGTCCACTGACACACAAGCGCCTTGACGCGCTGAATGACTTACGACGCAATGATAAGATAGTTCTGAACAAAACGGACAATAGTACCGGAGTCGTTCTATTAGACAAAGAAGACAATATAAACAAGCTCGAAAAAGTTATGAGTGATGAATCGAAATTTTCCCGAACGACTGGAGAAATGGACCAAACAGAGAGGATTGAAAACCAGATTATTAAAAGCTTGCAAGATCTTCGGAATAATGGACATATATCAAATGCAATTTGTGATAGCCTGAAGCCGAGTGGCACGAATGTCCCGAGGCTTTATGGGTTACCAAAAATTCATAAGACAGGTGTCCCGCTTCGCCCGATCTTATCAATGGTTAACTCACCCTACCATGACGTCGCCCAATGGCTTGTGGAAATTCTAGAGCCAGTAAGACAGCGACTTACACACTACAGCCTTCGTGACATCTTTCATTTCTTCGTAAGCATCAAAGGTCGCAATATCGATAAGAAAGTAGTGTTTTCCTTGGATGTTGTATCGCTTTTCACTAACGTGCCACTTTTCGAGACGATCGATTACCTTTGCTCCTACATAGAAGAAACAAAAGCAAGTATATGCATACCGTTGCGTGACTTGAAAAGCCTTCTTTTGCGTTGCACTTGGGACGTACAGTTCCTATTCAATGGCACTTACTACCGACAAAAGGATGGTGTAGCTATGGGATCGCCATTGGGTCCGTTGTTAACTGATGTCTTCATGGTGAAATTAGAAAATACGAAGTTACACGCGGAGATCATGGCCTTTGAATGTTACCACCGTGGCTCACTAGTCTGTTGACCTTGGCGCTGTTATTGACCGTTTTAATCGGTCCCATGCATCATTTCAGTTTACCTACGAAAAAGGATTGGACGATCAGTTGCCGTTTCTTGATGTGCTGTTAACTAGAAGGGCAGACGGCTCGATCCAACGGCAGGTCTACAGGAAGAAAACTTGGAGTGGCCAGTATACGAACTTTCACAGTTTCGTTCCGTTGAGATATAAGCGAAACCTAATTCGCTGTCTAACCACAAGGGCCCCTAGGATTTGTTCTGAAAACAAGTTGGATAATGAGTTCACATTCATTCAGAATTTGCTGCGCGAAAACGGATATCCTGATCGTTTCATTTTTAGGAACATGCAAAATAAGCCCGACCAGTTGCAGGTTCAGACAGCAGAGAAAAAGAACTTTTCATACGACTACCATTCAAGGGAGACGCCGCTGCTGAACGCGTAACTAGAAACCTTTCAACAGTTGTCAAGTCAACTTTCCCAGCAGCCAAGCTTAGGCGCACCTTTTCCACGGAACCAATCATTCGTATTCACAACAAAGACAAGTTACCGACGCTGATCGCTTCTATGGTAATTTATCAGTTCGAGTGCGCCTGTGGCGCTACTTACATCGGTCGAACGGCGCGGCAACTGTCGAAGCGCATTAAGGAGCAACTACCACGCTGGTTGCGTCGAGGTGGTACTGGGGCTATAACTAGCTCTGTTATGGCTCATCTTGTTGATAGTGGGCATGTTGACCCAGTTAGTGCCTTTCAAATACTATACAGGGTCCCTTCACTCCAGTGGAAAGACCTGCGGCTCCGTACCTTTGCTACTGTCGAGGCGATCAGCATTCGGTTGTATCAACCGCTTT